CATCCTTTTTTTAATACACAAAGACTGTTTTACTTGGCTCTATGTAATTCGTTTGTTTCTTAAATCTCACAAAAAAAAAAGGTTCTTTCACAGAAAAAAAGCACTTTTTTTTAGTACAGAAAAAAGCACTTCTCTGTTGGGAGATAACCCCGATACCATAAAAATAGGAACTAAAAAAATTCACTATTTTTTTCCCCTCACTTTTGTATTGCGTTAAAGCAGATGGAAAATGCTTTAAAAAAGGAAAAGCCTCAACCAATCTTAATAATGATTATTTTGAGGCTTAATATTTGCTATCAAATTCAAAGTGGGCGGCCCCATCTACCATCACTCATGTGAAATTGTTTTCATCTGAGGCTGCTTATTAGATATACTGTTATTGTAATGTAAAGTTTGGATCATTTGTTTTTTTTCTTTTTTTTTAAAGAACATTTGGATTAGGTAACAGTGGTAATGTGAATTATTAATTGCAACTTTTTGTCCTCCCAATGATCCATCTCACTTTTTTAGATTTYCATGTTATCACTAATAATTTTTTACTTTTAGTCTAATCAAGAAAAAGAAGTAATCACATTTTCGAGACTATTTTAATTTTAAATATTTTTCTAATATCTTAAAAATACTYTCCAAAGTGAAACACGAGTACCAATAAGCATGATTCATGAATTTTAGAAAGAAAAAAAAGAAAAAGGAGAAAAGAGTCCTATCAAACAAAGTTACGTGTTATATCGTGTTTTTAGAAATAAAACTATCATATATTTTGTTTCTCTGTCTATAAAACTAAAATTTYACTCTTTCATCGTTGATGAATTCTTATTTATATTGCTTTAATTTCATTACGCATGACAATTTTATTTTTACATTTTAAACTATAGTTCTACATTTTAAAGGTTATTCATGAAGTAAAAACATAATTATACTCAAATTTTAATAAGAAAGATTTAATAAATTTGTTAAAATTTTGAAGAATGAAAATATTTTGTTTTTTAAATTCTAGAAACTAAATTAAAAATCAAAGTAAAACTTTGGATGAATTTCATTTGAATTATCATGATGTTTGGGTTGACAAGGATAAGAACAGGGATGGATGTTTTTTAAATTAGCAGATAAAAAACAACGTATATTTTTTTCTGGCATTATTTATTACTCAAACAAATTGGACAAGAGTTGGAAAATGGCTATGGAAATAAAGAAAAAAAAGTTAAGGGTGTTTTAGTTAGTGATCAGAAATAAAAATCCAAATGCAAGAAATTTAATGTATTCTTTGTTAGCTTTGTAAACTAGTTGTTATACCCGCTAAATATTCAGTTTAATCAATTAATTTATCAACATTTTTGTTATAAAATATGTATAATTATTATTTTACCATTGTTGTATAATTCATCATATTATATTTTACATGTTTCAATTAAAAAAAACAATGAGTTTATAACATGAAACAATATATTCATCAAAGTTTTTATATATTTTTTTTAATGAAATTTTGTATTTCAGAAGTTTGTGACATGAAATAATATATTTATCAAAGTTCATATATATATATATTTGAATGAAATTTTGCATTTTAAAGTTTAAAATTCAAAATTTAAAAACACTGAAAATACAAACTTATTTTTTTTTAGAATTTCCACTATTTGATTCACAGCAAAAATAGTTTTAAAAACAAATCGCTGTCAAAATGATATTGGTTGAATTCATTTGATTAGGTGAATCTCCGTATTACCAAACAAATATAACCTAAAAGTTTGAAAGGTTGATCACTAGGCTCAACAATTCTAGGAATACAAGTTGAACGAACCTCTACATTTTAAGTGATAGGATATTGTTACTTAGGACATAATCCATCSTGACTATTTACTTCAATTTTACTCAAAAAGCCTCTCGAACTAATAGAGATGTTATCATTCATTAATATATATACATGATCTTGATCTTTTTATTAGTAAATATGGTATTTTTATTGCATTCCCAACAATTTTCTCCTCGAACAAAATCGCACTATACCTCGTTTCAAATAGCCATCTATACGTGTTCCATATTATCAAACACATCATTTTTTACCCGGTAAACTTTCTTTTTTGAGAACACACTACCAGTTTGATAGAACTCAGCTACAAATCACATACATATCTTCGAAGTTTACTATCTTTATTCGTCACTGGAAGATTGCATACGAGCCTGTTTTTGATCTGAACAACAGACTGACTAAACTGAATGACTTGTAAACAGCTTATTTTTAAAGTCCCAACTGCCCGTTTTATACACTGTCACTAATGAGCCCCCCCAGTCCCAAGTGGGCTCGCAGACTGTGACCTGTCGCCCATCCCCGCCAGCTCTGATTAATTAATGCACTGTCATTGTCATTTTTGTTCAGACTCCACAGCTAGGCTTTACGATCATATGGCAGCAAGTTTCGTTTTTATTAATTAATYATAAATATGTTATGTTATGTTATTGTGTGCTTCTATTATTTTGTAAGACTGCATTTACTTTTATGTTGTTGTTATGTGAGAGAATGGATAAATGATAAATATGCATGTCCAGACTCAAGCATTCAATTGTTTATTAAAGAGAAATCTGCAGACACATAACAAATTGTAGATTTTTTTTATCTCATTGATGAAATGAACTATGATTTTGACTTAAATATATGCTTATTGCCTGGGTGCTGTCATCTGTCTTGACTTGCGGATGTGGGTTCAGTTTTTTCTTTGAATGGTCTTATCATCTTAGATCTCAAGGGATAAGATTTACCATTTGTGGTGTAGCTATATATGTTRGAGATATGCATGCATATTATTCTGGTGAATTATAAGATATAATACCATTTCTTTTAAAGTAATAAGGAGGAGGAGATTCAAACATTCAACAAGTTGAATAAGTAATGTCTTAATCATTTTTGTAATATATATGCATGGCATTTTGGTTTAATAATATGATACATTTTAATAATACAAATAATTGGTTTTTTATCCCTACAATGATTAAATATATATTATCGTGTAGTTATTGATCGCATTGACATGTATATAAGCAAAAATTAATATAGCTTCAGATAAAAGAATCAACACATTATCTTTTGTTTTGCAAAGGCAATCAACATTATCATTATCTATACTTATTAATTATTTAATTGTGACTATGGGTATGGTATGGATAGGATTTGCTAGGTAGTGGGAAATTATCATTAATTATTATTATTTTTTTCATCAGATACCAAAGATGATCCGTATCAAAATTTTAAGTACCGCAAATATATAAAGGATTTGAGATTGTAAAAAAAATTTGAATTTTGAGAATAACCATTTTTTTTTAGCATGAAAATGTCTCAAACTCACAATCTTTTAGTTGGAAATATGCGCCAGTTACCATTAAATTATGTTCGTTTTAGTAGAAAATAACAATTTAAATAATCATATATAATTTTAGAGAATTGTAGGGCCCGTTTGATAACCATTTTAGTTTTTGGTTTTTGGTTTTCTGTTTTTAAAAAACAAAACTATATATGTTAAACCAAAACACGTTTGGTAACCATTTTTTAAATTTTTGTTTTTAAAAAGTTAGAAAATTGAAAATACATAAAAAAAATTTTATGTAGGGTAGGGATGACAATGATGTGGGTGCGAGTGAGGATGCTCTCCCCCATTCTGGTACTCATGAAAATTTTTAGTCTCCGTCTCCAACTCGTTCTTGGGTCCGAGAGATGTTCTCAAGAAAAATTTTTGGTTTTATAATTGTTTTTAAGTATTTTTAGAATTTAAGTATAAAAAAAGTGTAATAAATATATATATTAATTATTTAAAAAATGGAATCGGGGACGGGGATGGGGTCGGGACATGCATTTCAGAGATGTAAATAAACTTTTGAAAGATAAATTTTAGAGAGATAAATAAAAAGATTTAGAAAAAAACCGTGAAAGAAAAATTAAAGACAAAAAAAGGAAAATTGTAGAGAAAAAAATAAAGTCAAGAGAAAAAGATATGTTGAAGAAAAAAAAACAAATTATAAAGAAAGAGAAAAATTATAGTGGAAACAAATTTAGAGAAAATAACAAGATTCAAAATATAATTTTTAGAGAAAATAAATAAATACAAAGATAAATAAAAGTTACAGCGAAACAAAATTGAACGGGAAAATAAAATATAATTTTCAAAGGAAAAAATACGAAAAGAAAGAAAATTATAAAAAAAATGAAATTTTAGAGAGAAAAAAATTAGGAAAAATATTAAATTTTTAGAGAGAGAAATGAAACTGGTCTGTTAGAAAAATATATATAAAAATTTGGAGAGGGACAAACAATAATAAATATTCAAAATATGAAAATTTTAGAGAGAGAAACGATAAATTAATTTAAAAATTATGATATATTATGTGAAAATATTTTTAGTTTGGATTAAATTTGTTATTATTTTGGAGAAATTGTTGTTATGGGTGCGAGCGATCCTATAATTGACCTGATTATACTATCCCTGATAAATCACAAAACCACGAGGGCTGTTTTGGAAAAAAAGGCTCTTTCCGCGGCCACAGTCCGTCCCCAAATAGGTCACAAAATGTGTCAGGGACCAGTTACAATATTTAGTTTGAAAAATACCCCTTTTTATTTCTAAAAGAAAAAGAAAAAAACCTTTTCTTAAGGTCGTAGCTGGCAGGCTCGGGTAGTGGGTACTGTGCAGTGCGCAGTCCTCCATTGACCGTCAATTTTCTTTTTCGTTTGTTTACCTAAAACATTTTATCATTATTCCCCCCTTTTATAATTTTATTTGAAAAATAAATTTTATCTTCACTCTCCTTTAAAATTTGACATCTTATTATTTTAAGAAAATAAAGATTTATTTTTACTGCGCATAAGATAGTACAGTATTGTTTATTTTTTTTTTCTTTTTTTTTTGTTTGATCAAAATATTTGGTAGCGGTAATCTATGATTTATATCCACAATTTTCTTGAAACGTTGATCGCAATTTGAAGTTTATAATAATTTTTAATTTAAAGAAATGGGAACTCTGATGCGCCCAATTTGGGCGGGGAACGATTATAAAATGCGACGTTTCTCGTCTCGTGTAGAAGCAGCCTCTAGAGTTTCTCCTCCTCCTCCTCCTCCTCCTCCTCCTCCTCGTTAAACTACCCATTATTATTATTATATTGTTTGTTCCGACAATAATATAATGGGGAGTATTATCAGGGCGGATGCGGAGGGGCTGAATCAGCCACTGATCATCTCCAGCAAAGATAAGAGCAGAGCAACGGAATCAGGTGAAGATCGGAGAGAGGATTTTTTGTCAAAGCTGTGGGTGGAAACTCAGCAGCTATGGCTGATCGTTGGGCCTTCGATTTTCAGCCGCGTTGCTGGCTACTCCATGAACATCATCACCCAAGCTTTCGCTGGCCATCTTGGCGATGTCCAACTCGCTTCAATTTCCATCGCCAATACTGTCATCGTGGGTTTCAATTTCGGCCTATTGGTACGTATCAATGCTCCGTAGGCAGAGGCAGGCCCCTGTTGGTATAATTGTTTAATTAATTAACTAATTTTGTTTCAGTTGGGGATGGCGAGTGCACTGGAGACGCTGTGTGGGCAGGCGTACGGAGCAAAGAAATACCACATGTTGGGAATATACTTACAGCGCTCATGGATAGTACTCTGCCTCTGCTGCTTTCTGTTGCTTCCCTTTTACTTCTAC